CTTCTGTTCTTCTCCGTGATTATATTGTTTTCATTGCCTTTTGCTCTCATGAACCTACTTCTTATCGAGAAGCTTCTTCTAACCCTCTTTGGCAACAAGCTATGACTGATGAACTGCAAACTTTCGATCAAACTCATACCTGGGATGTAGTTGATCTTCATCTTGGAAAGTGTACTGTTAGTTGCAAATGGGTTTACAAGATCAAAACTCATTTTGATGGTTCCATTGAGTGTTACAAAGCTTGCCTTGTCACTCGGGGATTTACTCAAGAATATGGGATTGACTATGAGGAAACATTTGCTCCTGTTACCCGTATTACTTCAATTCGCAGCTTACTTGCCGTTGCTACTGCTCGCCACTGGAGTCTTTATCAAATGGATGTCAAGAATGCCTTTCTCAATGGTGATCTCACTGAGAAAGTTTATATGCAACCACCTTCTGGTTCTTCTGTTCCATCAAACAAAGTTTGCAAACTCCGCCGTGCTTTGTATGGTTTGAAATAAGCTCTGCGTGCCTAGTTTGTCAAATTTAGCTCTATCATTCGGGATTTTGGTTTTTCTTGCAATCTCCATGTTGTATTTCATTATTCAATTCAATATATAGAGTTTCTCTTTTCTCTTCTCTCTCTACTTTCTTAATAGTAACAAAGTATTAGCTGCTACTATTTAATCTTATTACTTATGCTATCTTTAAAAAAAAGAAAAAGAAAAAAAAAAGAAGGTAATTATACTTACTTCTTGTCAGATTAAAATGATATATTTTCCCTTTAACTTTTATACATATAAAATAATAAAATGATGCTGATATTTTGTTCATGTCATTTTAATAGAAATAACAATCATTTTCTTTGATTTAACACACACAAAAAAATTAAATTTTTATTTTTCATGTTTTTTAATTTTTACTAAATTTTTAAAATATTTTAAGCCATTTATTTTTTATTTTTTAGATACACCTAATCTAGATATTTTTAAGAAGTATAATATTTTGTGTGTGTGTGTGTGTGTCGTTTTTTTTTTTAATTTTTAATTCATCAAATACAAAAGAATAAAAAAATACAAAAATTCATTAATACTGTGATAAATGTGAATGACGGTGTTTGGTAATACTGTAATAAATGTGAGTGGATAAACGAGAAAAAAAAATGATTATGGAAATAAAAACGAAAAATTCTATTCATATATAAAAATTTATACAAAAAAAATCATAAAAATGTTGTGATGGTGATGTTGTTGTAAATATAAATAATGTTTATGAGTATTTTGTTTTAAAGTAAAAGGTTACTATTAAGCTATATTATTATGTTTGAAAATTTTATATAAAATTTATGTTTGTATATCATTACTCAGTAGGTGTTTGGCATGCACTAAAAAAGTGCATTTTTTTTTTGAGTATATACAGTTATTTTCTATTTTTCAACATCTCCTCTTTATTTTTCTACTCATTTTCTCTATTTTTTTACACATTTTTTTTATTATAAAAATTCAAAAAGTGCACTTATTTAGAACATTCCAAACCACTAAGAATATGTTCAGGTAGAATTTAATGATAGAAAGTTGTAAAATGTAATCATAATGATAGGAAGAAGAAATGGTAGGAAAAAGGCTAAAATAGTCTTTTAAAAATTTTTAAGGTATCTCATCAGCAATTCAAGGAGTAATTTGTAATGAATTAACAAATCAGGAAGGAAAATGTAATTTTTCAAACGTCAATGAGGAATTTGTATTAAACATAAACTTCAAGGGTGTCAGTGTAATTTACCAAAAAAAAAATATAACTATATTTTATCCCATAACTATATAAATTAGTAAAAATATAAAATTTTAACATTCTTCAAATCTGTTGTTAATAAAAAAAAAAACAAACACTAAAAAAAAAAGTGTAAGCATGTCCATATAGTGTGTATGTCCATTTATTCGTTCTACTTAGGCTCTTCCACATTTCTTAGCTGTTGTTTACCCCAAACAATAAGAAAAAATTATAGATAAGTGATTTTCAAAATAAAAATATTTATAAAAAAATCATAAATATTAATAATTAAAATTATAAATTTTTGAAAAAATTAGTCTAAAGTCTATTTCCTATTTTTAGTAATGGAAGAGATCCACAATATTATTTTTTGATGTTTAAGATCCCTGAACCCACACCCATATATCAGATCAGAGAAATTTGACTCTCTCTCTCTCTCTTTCCGATCACCATCACCATGCCTCTCTCATTTCCTAGATTTATCTCTATTCAAGTCCGGCGAGTAATATCGGAGATTGACAGCGATAGTGATGGATTCATTGATCTCTACAAGTTCGCCAATTTTCCCCGGAGAACTAACCTCTGATTTCATGGCCAAGGATTCCCACGTCCTCCTCTCCGACCAAGCCTAGACGTTTAAACTCTCCGATGCCTGCAAACAGTTAGAGCAAGTTCTAGGTTTGGTTGAAAGTATGACTTCATTAATGTGTGTTGATATTGATTTTAATTTGGATACACAAGAAGTGGCAGACGATTTTGCTGGTGGAGGCTCAGATGTAAATGTTACCAAATTGAATGTGGTGGAAATTGTGGAGACTAAAATTTGTAATGCAAAAGAGAAAGGAGATGACACTGTGAGATGGTTGGAGCTTGAGGACCTTCACATAGATGATGCTTTGTTATTGTCTCTTGACTTGCCTAGTAAATTTCTTGTAAGTAATTTCTATTATTTATTTTTTTTGTAAACAATTGAATGAGTTTTCTCCGACTTATTAGTATTTTGTTCTGATCAAATTATTTATTTATTTTGTTCTTGTGAACCATGGAACACATTTTGCCTGAGGTTTATGATTTTCAACCAGAAAAGATTGTGAGGGGCAATTTCTCTGGGTTAGAGAGTGGGATTTTCTTTGGTTTGAGTGAATTTCTCTAGGTTTGAGTGAATTTCTCTGGAGTGGAGGGGAATTTCTCTAGGTTGAAGTGTCCAAAGAAATTTCAAAGACCAAAAACAGAATTAAAAAGGAACTTGATAAAATCATTAGGGTTATTTGCAGAGTTGGCTGTTTCACTGATTAGAACGCAGAAACAAGTTAAAATTAGCAAGATGAGAAAATTAAGATCATTTTCCTTCATTTTCTTACAAAACAAATGGTCCCATAATCATAAAGATAGAATGCAGTCCAAATAAATTAGCATTTCTAATTCTGAAGATAGCAGCAGAAGATGCAAATAAGAAATTTCAGATAATGAATGCATACAAAGGCATTTACAATTCAATCAGATATACCTTTGAAGGAAGAGTGAATTGCTGAAAGAAAGTGCTTATGCTGCTGGTTTGCCATAATTAGAGGTCCAAACTCCAAAATGTAAGAGAGAGAGAGAGAGAGAGAGAGAGAGAGAGAGAGAGATTATGGGATGATGGTTGTTGTGTGGAAAGGAAAGAAGAGAGAAAAATGGCATTAAGTTGGTTAATTGTAGATTTGACTGAGTTGGGTTTTTGGGATTGATGGATGAATGGATGATGCAGAGACATTCAATAATTCAAGTCATTGTTTTCGGGTTGTATTTTTTTTAGGTGATGTAGAAAATTTCTCTAGTTTTGGAGAATTTCTCTGGATTCTGGTGAGATTTTCTCTATGAATATGCATCCAAATCACTGAAGCCATCAAACTACAGACAACGCAAGTGAATTTCTCTAGTTGGAGGGGATTTCTCTGGGGTTGAGGAAATTTCTCTAGAATGGAGAGGAAATTTCTCTAGGTTAAATCTAAGGAAATTCTCTGGTGAGATTTTCTCTATGATGTGTTCAGAGAAATTTGGAATTTTCTCTGTGATTTGTTCAGAGAAATTCTTTGGATCGAATTTTCTCTGGATCGATATTGAGGGACCTTAGACATTATGAAAATATTGAGTATCCTTCATAGTATAAAATTTTAATACCAGGGACCTTAAAAAAAAATTCTCTAAATTTTTTCACTAATCTGTAATAATTTTTAAAAAACTACCCCTAATGATAATTTTCCTATTTAAAAAATATTTACACATTCATGAAAATTGGAAATTTATGACTTATTATTTTAATATTTATAAAATTTATCATTAATGTATAATTATTTTTCAAACCTTACACTGAATTGATATTTCGGCAGTATTATATATATCAATTAATATATTAACATTAATTATAATATTATTATTGATCTCACTTATTAATCACATTACAAATATTAAAAAAATTCTTAAATTATGTCGCATCTTGATATTTTCTCGAACAATAATCAACAATCAATGAATGCAAATCCACATTAAATTTAACGCATAGTTTGGGTGCGAGCATTGCCATGGCGATCAGCTGAGCTCTTGGATCGCAATTGAATGCAGAGATTTTTTAGGCTTTTTCTCATCCCCAAGTCCAGTGAAATAGTGACGGTTATTAAGGCCTAGTTTGGAAAGACTAAATAAGTGTATTTTTTGACTTTTTTTTGTATTATGTGTAGAAAAAGTAGAGAAGAGATGTTGATTGATGTGACCCAAAAAAAATAAAAAGATGAAATAAGTGCACTTTTTTCTTTGTAGCCAAACTTGGCCTAAATCGTCCATAGGATGATCCACCATATCTTTAATTTGAGGTTAGGTCTAAATCTCATTAAAACTTTCCACATAATTGATTCATACATACTTATACATGTTTTTTTTGACTTATTTTATTTTATTTTATTTTCTTTAATGTTGTGCTTCTGTGTTCATTCTTTCTAGTTAAATTCACGTTGTTGTTTTAATGCTCACAACCTGCTTGATTTTATGCCTACTACAAATTGGCATTACTTACCAACATCTCACAATTGATGCTTTTACCACTTTGATGTTTTTGTTTCGGGCACGGGTGGGCTAAAGCTCTGCCTATTAGATGGCAGTTGAAATTGAGCCAATTTGAGTCAAAATGAAAATTTTAGAGACGGAGTTGACAAAATTGAAATTTAGAGGACCAAGTCACATGAAACGCATACTCATACTCTAGGGACCATGGAATAGGACATCCAATCCGACATTTCAAATATCAATATTGAACAAAAACATAAGACATCAAAAAGCACTACCATTTAACATTTGGAAACATAAAAAGGCAAAACAACTAAAAAGATCCTACTTTTACATTGGCCGTCAACAATCCACAACCTTGCTTCTTTCTGTTGGCTGGGACTGATTTTGTAAAAGATAAAAACAATAAGAACAACATAGACTTAGTAAAATATTTAAATATTTGATCTGTCAATCTGATCTTAAAATAACCCAGAGATCCATCACTTGTTAGTCTATTATGACTCTGTGCCACTTCTTTATAATCCCAGGTGTTTAGCTCTTTCTTTTCTTCCTCCTCTGTGGGTGATGAATTTCCTTAGCAAACTAGACCAACAGACTAAGAAGTTGGAACTTGGAAAATAATCTGCTTCCCAAAAACTTATCGTGGTACAACTTCGGATATTGTTGCATCATCAACTGAACAAGTTTGTTGCCGCAGTGTCAAATTGTTTTCTTCTTCTTTATCTTTGTTTGTTGAGAAAGCGGGCCTTTGAGGAATTGGCACAACTTCAGTTTCATTTTTGAGCATTGAAGAAACTTCCAACATGGACGGTCTCTCTTGCCATTTTTCTTGAACGCACAACAAAGCCACCTGCATGCATCTCATGAGTTTACATGATGAAGATGAATCATCCAGTAGTGGATCCATAAAGTCCATGCCTTTACCATCTTTCCACAGTTTATATGCCTGAAAAAAAGAAAAAGAAAAGAAAAATAATGATAATAATAATTTTTATCATCCTTGTAGTTCACATTTGCAACCATGATAGAAAACATTTTCAAAGTAACTTACATATTCTAGAATATTTAGATTTTTATGCAGACCGTGTAGACTTGTATTCTTTTTGCCACTTATGATTTGCAAGAGTAGAACTCCAAAGCTATAAACGTCGTATTTTGTGGAGTATGTACCTCGTTTTACGTACTCTGGAGGAACGCAACCACTGTATGTCAGTGATAAAAAAAAGTAATTATTATTTGACAATAAAACATGTTTGTGTGAGAAATTTGAGGGTTTATTTACTTACTATGTTCCCACAATGTGACTTGTGTTTGCTTCATGTTCATCTTTCTGAAAAATTCTAGCTATACCAAAGTCTGATATTTTTGGTTTCATGTCCTTGTCTAGTAAGATGTTACTAGCCTTCAAATCTCTGTGGACTATTGTGAATCTTGAATATTCTTGGAGATATAGAAGCCCTTGAGTAACCCCTTCAATGATATGAAGCCATTTCTCCCAATCTAATAACGACCGTCCATCCGGATCTGCATCAATTAAGATATATGTATAATTAGTTATTTCTTGATAACTGATGTAGGAACTAGGTGCAAACTATACCCTATGAGCTCAAATTCGACCTTGAGTGACTTCTTTCAAGCGTAGTGATGTGTTCCACAACATGCCATTCCTGTTATTTAATTCTTTTTAGACACAAAAACATGGACTTGAGCACTGAAAGAAGAGTGGTTTTTGGAAGTAAGGCTAGAAGACCACTGCCATCATTTTGTTAAAGTAAGATACACATTAAAAAAATCTCTACAAAATGCACTTTTTCTGTCATCTTTTTGGCAAATTGACAGTAAAAACCTATTTACCACTAGGAAGCACAAACAGTCTGTTGCCAGGTCAAAACTCCTTAAGAAGTTCTAATACCCTCTTTGATTTAGCAATTCTACTGTTGCTATATGGTATTGTACTTTTCATTGTTTGTATGCATATCGAAATAGAACATAATTCATATAAGAAATTGAGAGAGATGGCAAATTGACAGTAAAAACCTATTTACCACTAGGAAGCACAAACAGTCTGTTGCCAGGTCAAAACTCTTAAGAAGTTCTAATACCCTCTTTGATTTAGCAATTCTACTGTTGCTATATGGTATTGTACTTTTCATTGTTTGTATGCATATCGAAATAAAACATAATTCAAATTCAAATATGCCAACAAAAAATTTCAAGGTTCAAGTGAGAGTATAAGAGATTGCAGACCATAGAGGTAGAAATCCAAGCTTTTATTTGGCATGTACTCGTAAATCAGCAGCTTTTCTTCCCTTTCTGTGCAAAATCCCAGAAGTCTAACTAGATTGACATGTTGAAGTTTTGCCGTGAGTGAAACCTCATTTTTGTACTCCTCAACTCCTTGTCTGGAAGTCTCAGAAAGTCTCTTCACTGCAATTTCTTGTCCATCCGGTAATTTACCCTGATAAAACCACACTTATTTAGTATATTCAACCAGATTGGCTGCCGTTTTTGTGATGGCTTCTACAGTTATCTGTAATGCTGTAAACAAAAAGTTCACCCATTTATGTGTATGTAGTTAATGCTCATGTAATTGTAAAGTAATGCCCATAATCATTTGTCAAGCTTCAATTTTTGGAATAATGAAAGCTTATGAATGGTTTTTGAGAAGATCCAAGTAAAACAAAAAGGACACGAATGATGAATTGACAAGATTTGAAATGGCATTATTTTGGAGCAAGCACATGGGGGTTTGCAGCTGCATGCTCATACTTCTTTTATTTTCTATGATAAAATGATGTTCAAAAGGTACCACTTAGCATTTCATGCATAATTTGGGATTGTATGCATTGTTTTCTAGTAAACTAGAATTACTAAGTATGTTTGCTAGGTGAAAGTCCAACTACACATGTCAAATGCACATCTCATACTTTGACTTGAGTGTCGAGTGTCCAACACGTGTACGTCATACATTTAGAAAAATCCATGTACCGTAGAAACCTACAATACTATACATCTTAAGTATTTTTCTTCTTGAAAGTTTGAATACATAAATTGGGTCACCAAATATTACCTTATAAACAGGTCCAAATCCACCCTGTCCAAGCTTATTTTCACTTGAAAAGTTATTTGTGACCACTTTGATGTCCGCAAAACTGAATACTTGTAGATTAGGAGACTCCGACTTTTTTCCTGTAGCCATTATCCTCATAACTAAAATATAAAAGTTAAATATGTTAATATCTTCATTTTTTAGTTAAATAACATATACTTAATGACTATTAATGTTGAATTCTGAAAACTGTGAATAGTTACCTTTCTTTTTGAGTACCCCTCTCTGCAAATACCACAATAGAGTGCCTAGTAGGAAAATAAGTACACAAATTGTAGGAAGCAGAATCACTAACAACCATTTCTTGTTTCCTTGTTTTTTGTCTTCTCCTAGAGCTGCACAAGTAGGTAATTAAATTGATCAGAATGTGACAATAAGGATGCTCTGCAAATTTTGGCATATGTTATACTCTTAGTATGTGTTTGGATCATGAATTTAGAAAGAGATTAATTAAGAGAAAGGAGAAGTGAATAAAATGTAAACTAATTTGTTTCACTTTTCCCTCCTCTTTTCCTTTCCTTCTGCAAATCTCTCCTCAAATCCATGCCTTGAACTCTTATGTAGTCAATGTGAGCCCAAAGGGGATACTGAAAGAATGGCACGAGCTGTCTTTTCCTAGCAAGTGACCATTAATTTTAATTCAAGCTACTACTATTCTTTATGTTTCAAATTTCCATAAACGTGTTCACATAGAGAGCAGATGTTATGGGAAGTTGACAAACCTCATTGATTACATGTCTATATATAAGTTTTACCTATTGTAGCATGATGATGAGATGAACATACTCAAAATTCCAGCTAGATCAGGTGTTGTGATGCAATAATAGCGTTCTGTTTGTTTTGTCAGAAAATATTTTCCTCTACAGAAAATATTTATCAAAAATGTTTTCAGTAAAAAATGTTTTCCTTTGATTGCAATCCTGAAACTGATGGTTACTTGTTGGGGAAGTGGTGGAGTTGGTGGCAGCAAAAATAGTTGTGGGTGGTGGTGGTGGGCCGGCTGCAGCGGTAGTGGTGTGGTGGTTGATAAGATTTTATACTGGAAAAAGTTTTCCACCTTTAAAAAGGTGGGAAAAGTGGAAAATGAAACGTTTTCGCTCAAATAAGCTTTTCCATTGACTTCTGTTTTTGTCATACCAAATACCATAAGTACAGAAATGTTTTTTTGCTGAAACAAACAGACTGTAAGACTCAATTCTCAACCTGAGCTTGAACAATCTATGACTTACCTGCCTTAGTGAGCACCCAATTGTCATCATTGGGCACTTGCCATACCGCATAACCCAGAAGCCCCTTATCCTTGGCATAAGAAACCTTAGTTCGGATAGCCTCCACATCGTCAAATCCGATCCAAAACAACCCAAATGTGCAGTAATTGACTACATAAGTTGCATTATACATTGAAGCAAGTTTGTAACTTTTCATGTACCACTTGATGTACTTGTAGCTCATAGATCCATCTTGTGTAATAGCCAAACCTCTCGCTGGTGCACCAATTCCATTCTCTTTAGGGCTCACAAGTGTCCAAGCATAGCCGTGGTATGCCAAGCCCAAAACCATCTTACTAGCCGGTAATCCTATCCCAATCCATTCCTTTATACCGTAGTCAGTATTTAGATTGCTTGAAGGGTCATACAAAGCAGCATGACCACCTGTAAAATTATCCCTTTTGGACAAGTAATAGTCATATGCTATAATATGAACCCAATCTAAGTTCCTTTCCACTGATTTTACAGGGTATTTGTCGGAATCAACGACAGGTGAGTAATGCCCAGACATGATAAAGATGAGTCGTGAACTCGTTGATTCGGAGTTTATAGCAGCTCTCCATTCGTCAAACAGAGTTCCCATATTGGTCATGTTCATGTCCGTACTCAGTGAAACACCCCACATATCTATGCCTTGGAACCCGTAAAGCCGGGCTATTTTTATCGTGGATTGAATGAAAGTTTTTCTCTGAGAAGCTTGGCTAACCATTGAGAAGAAAATTGAAGAGTTTGTGGTGCCATCCCAGATGGATAAAATTGTGATGACGGACGGGTTTTTTTGTTTGACGATGTTAGTGAAGGTGGAGAAGTATTGTTCGGCAGAGGAGGGGATGGAGAGCTCATAAGTGGACGAGTTTATATATGCGAAAGCACACAGAAGGTGAGTGAATAGAGTTGAATCTATGTCGGGAACTGGGGATTCGCTACCGGAATACCAGTAACCGGCATTGATCCAGGTTTTGGGCTCTGAAGAGCTCACTTCTAGAGGAAGGAGTAGTACAAAGAAGACGGAGATAGCGATTTTTAACGACATTGAAGAAAGAAAGTCATCTGATCATTCTTTCAGGGATGTGTTCTCTATATTTTAGGACCTGAAGATTAACTTGTCTACCAACCAGTCTAGATTCCACAAGGTGTAGGAAAAGGTCAGGACTTTTCCCTTTGGGATGCTTACGTGCCGTATGCATGTTTGATTGTGTTTCCGTTTTCCATTTTATTTCAGGAAAACACACAAAAATTTGTTTGGCCATTTTTATTTTTATTTTTTATTTTTTTGTGAAAACAACTTACACTGTAGAAAATATTGAAAAGTTATTTTTGTACAAAAATGAAATGATAGCGTTTCTAAATTTTTTATTGTTTTTATTTTCGAAAACACAGTTATAGAAACATTGAAGAATGAAAGCTGTCTCTCACATGCTTTGAAGTCTCTGTCTAGTATATCTTTGCAACCTGAACATGGACATGTGTACCACCACACATAGGCCATGTTTGTTTGGGCAGACTGAATTAGCATTCCCATGACTAATAGTCCTAGGACTACGAATCTGTTGGATTATGTATCCTATCTTAACTAATAGTCAAGTTTAAAAATAATTAATCCCTACTTCAATTGTTTAACCAAACATCAGATTAATAATTTTATTGGACTATTAGTCCAATCCCAAGCTCATGTCCACCCAAACAAACATAGCCATAGTGTAGGCGGCTTGTGGAATAATTTTCAGTGGGGTCAATGATTAAGTTCTATGTACCATTTATTTTCTAATAAATTTTTGTGCATTCACATTAGTCTTTTCATAAAAAATGGAAATACAAAAATTTCTCTCAATTCTCAATTGGAGAAATTTGAAAGATACTTGTCATTGATAGACTGGACTCGCTAAAACTCGTTTTTGAGCCTAGATAAATTTAGTACTTGTCCAAGTGGTTGTGTGATGCAACTTATTTAAGTTGTTTATCATTTTTTTTTATTTTGAAAATATATGTTAAACTGTTTAGTGCTACTTCTACTTATAGTTTATTAGGTAAAAATAATTTAAATAAGTTGAAAAAAAGTTAACTTTTGAAAGCGAGGTACATAGTGTTTTTTTGATTATCAACTTTTAATTTACAATAGGATAAATTACAAATATAACCCCTGAGATTTATTTAAAATACAGATTGCTCCCTATAATTTAAAAAATTACAAATACCCTATTGTCAGAATTTTTTATTTAACATAATTAGATAAAAAATAAAATTCATAATTACTTTCCTATACAATAATAAAATTACTTAAATTATTAATTGATTTGATGATTTATTAATAAAAAATGCGATTTGTTATGAAATTAGAAACCTCAGGGGGTGTACAAGAGGCGATTCATATTTTAATCAAATCTCAGAAAATGTATCTGTAATTTATCCTTTGCAATAAGTTTTACCAAAGAGTGATATTGTTGTCATATGCATGTTTGGTTTGTGTTTTTATTTATTTATTAAAGATTTAAAAATGAAATAATAGACGATGGACATTGATATTTATGTAGGGACAAAAGTGAGATTTTACCAAAAGAATAGGGAGTTGATTGTTACAATTTCATGTGCAGGGATCAAAGTGAGATTTGATCAGAAGTGCATAGGGGTTAATTGTCATGATTTCATGTGTAGCAGTCAAAATGAGATTTGGTACAAATTGTAAGGGTGCAAAGTGTAATTTACCCATAATAATAATCAGTGTGTTTGGTTTCAATTTTCTGAATTCAGTTTTCTAAATTAAGTTTTTTGTTTTTTCGTATTTTTTTTGTTCTTAGTGATTTTTTTTTAAATTTTAGCAATTTTTTTTTAATTTTTTAGATGCACCTTATTTAGATGTATCTAAATAATAAAATATTTTTAAAAAATAATAGATATACAAAAATATAATAAATGTACTGATTTTTTTTTTTTTGGTATTGAGTGAATTTTTTAAAGATTTTTTTCACAAATATTATATTTTTTAAGTGTATTTATGTTAGGTGTGTTTAAAATTATTTAAAAAATTATTTAAAATATTAAAAAAATTCATTAAAAACAAAAAAGTACGAAAAATAAAAATATAAAATTTTCTTAAAAGTATTTTCTATAAACCAAAACTAAACAAGTTGAATAACTCTCACACAGCTAGCATGAGCCATGATCATGATCAAAGGGGGCTTTCTTTTGAAATGAAAATATTATGATACCTTTTGTGACAAAATTACCACCAATAAATGCAGCTGAATTAAATTCATTTGTTTAGCTAAAAAACTTCCTCCCAAAATTTTCCTCCACAATATAAAAATGTTGTTCTTAATTTTTTTTTTTCTTTCCTTTGTTATTTACATGCAGGAAAACATACCTGACCTATAAAGTTATTAATGATTTGAGTTATTGGAGGAAATTAAAATAAAATTTTCATGTTATTCTATTTATTTTGCATTCTTTTGTAAGCATAGAGTTTAGTTGTTGTATATTTATTGGAAAACACAAATATTATATTTTTTAAGTGTATTTATATTAGGTGTGTCTAAAAATTAAAAAAAAAATTACTTAAAATATTAAAAAAATTCATTAGAAACAAAAAAATACGAAAAATAAAAAAGTAAAATTTTCTTAAAAGTATTTTCTATAAACCAAAACTAAACAAGTTGAATAACTCTCACACAGCTAGCATGAGCCATGATCATGATCAAAGGGGGCTTTCTTTTGAAATGAAAATATTATGATACCTTTTGTGACAAAATTACCACCAATAAATGCAGCTGAATTAAATTCATTTGTTTAGCTAAAAAACTTCCTCCCAAAATTTTCCTCCACAATATAAAAATGTTGTTCTTAAATTTTTTTTTTTCTTCTTTCCTTTGTTATTTACATGCAGGAAAACATACCTCACCTATAAAGTTATTAATGATTTGAGTTATTGGAGGAAATTAAAATAAAATTTTCTTGTCATTCTATTTATTTTGCATTCTTTTGTAAGCATAGAGTTTAGTTGTTGTATATTTATTGGAAAAATTGATAAACGCAAACAAAGGAAAGCTTTTGTTGGAATGCAAAGAGAAAGCATCATGCTAAATTTCGTGACAGAAACTTCTCTGCTTTCTTAAACATATTTTGGAGATTTAGTTTTGGCTATTTGAAAGAGAATTGTTACCATATTACAAATTGATTTATATTTTATTATGTTAATTTATGTTTGACGGTAATAAATATATATGTTTGTTTTTAGTGTTCTAACCATTTATTATGTTTAATTTTTGAATTTATGTCAAATAAATTGAATAGTTAAATAGTTACATGCACTACCAATTTATAAAGAGAGAAAAAAATTACACAGATGGAAAGTAAGAAAAATCACACATATATAGAAAGTATGTAAACATTTTATTATGTACATGCAAAAAATAGAAATCACATGTAAATCTCATAATTAAGAGTAATAGTTTTTATCAAGTTCGTAATTGCAGTTTAAGCCTTCTTTTGTTTTCTTCTAGTATGCTTTGATGTGTTGTGCCTAAAATTATTTTTTACTAAGAATAAAATATGTTCTAACGAGTGAAATTTATTTATTTTGTTAAAATGCTTAGTAAGACTTGGCTAATTTTTTTTGGCAGTGGCTTTGGTCCAGTCGAAGATCGGACTAGACCGGTTGGGCCAGTGGAAGCTTACCACGGGTTCCGTTTTGATAATCTGAACCGTTCAATGTGTAGAACTCGTTGAGTACTATATGCCTATAAAAAATCACGTTGATCGGATATCGATAGCTATGTGAACAAAGCAGTTTTTTATCAACTATTAATTGTTTCACCGTCTATTTTTTTATACAAAACTGATTTGATCATATAGCTATTGATAACCGATCAACGTGATTTTTTACAAGCATGTAGTACTCGACGATTTCTACATATTGAACGGTTCGGATTATCAAAACGGACTCAAAAAATAGACTCCATGAGCCGAACTGGACGGGTTCAGTCTTGATCTCAACTTGAGACAAGCTGGACCTTTTTTTTTTTTAATTTTTATAACCACAAAATACTCTACAAAAGCAACAACAATTCATTAACCACATACACATGAATAGTATTTACTTCAACTAATGAGAGAACCATCGTTAAATATAATTGCATAAATAAAATATAAAAAAACAATGACAAAGATTAAATTTACTTGAATAGTAAATATAACTGCAAAAGAATAAAAAATACAATGGCTAAATTTACCAATTCAGGTATATACCTTGTATATATGGTGCGGTTTTGGGTTAGAGGTTGGTTGTTCTAGGTTGTGAGGTGGTTGTGAGTTTTTGGTGGTGGAATGGCCGCAGAAGATGGGGATGGTGGCTGGTGGTGATCAGGCTGGTATTGTGCTTGCTGAAGTTGATGAAGGTGATAGTGGTTGCATGTCATTGGATATGGGTGAAGATTAGAATATGATGTTATTTTTGAGTTATTTAGTGAGTCAAATCGTGGAGTTAAATTGTGATATGGACAAATTTATAATTTTGCCCCCCAAAAACATGTCATTCAGGTGCGTAATTTTTGTCAAAAGTTGTAACTCCAGTTAACAATCGAACAAAATTGAGATAAAATAAGAAAATTCAAAGGCAAAATCTCGAGTCAACTAAAAACATACGAAGATAGGAAAAGGAAGAGGATATCATGGAAAGAAAAAAAAAAAAAAAAAAAAACCAAGTAGAAGAACTACTGATGGCTAGAAATGGGGGGAAATAGGTCATAATTTGTTCTAAAAAATTTATTTTTTAAATGCTCCTATTGTAATATCACAAAGCCACAACATAATTGGAGTAATGGAATTTGATGGTGGTACAAGAGACTTGGACGGGTTGGACTGATCCACGCTTCTCCAACCGGTATCTGAGTGATCAAGCCCACCAGAGAACCTGCACAAGAGTTTAACGGGGAACGGGGAGTCCTTTAGCGAACCCTCCGACGAGCAAGTTAGAGAGAGAAGTGGATTGTAGAGATAAATTAGAGATAGAAAAGTTTAACCTTCTTCTTGTCTTCAACGTCTGCTTATATCCTCTGGTAATCATTTCGTTGTCCCTTCCGACCTGTCACCTTGGCCGAAAGTCTATGCTGTAGCTTCCCTTGTTCAGGGTAAGGGCGTGCCGTCCCGATGGAGAAGGGTTATCGCACCAAATGCTGTAAAGGGGCCTCATTAATGGCGATGTGCCGTGGCAATAACTTTGCAGATCTTTGTCTGCTGATGTGGCTTGCCCT